CTCTCTCTCTCTTCATACAACACACTATCTCATTAGCTCTCTTAGCCGTTCTTTACTGTTCCTCTATTACAGTTTTGCGCCCTAACGTCACCGCGACCGTGAAGCCGCCTAAAACCACGACCATCCCCAGAACAACAGTGAAGGTGAATGCTTCGTTCTCCACATGTGGGATGAGAGAGTTCCCTACAAGCACCCGTGGCAGGATCATCGGGGGGAAGAGGACGCAACCAGGAAATCACCCGTGGTTGGCATCGCTGCAGCTGAAGGGGTCCTCTGGCAACTATCCCTCCGGTCACCTGTGCGGTGGAACTCTGATAGCCGAGTGTTGGATTCTGACGGCGGCCCATTGCGTGAAACCATTGTGAGTGCCCAAAACCACATTGCAGCCATTCTATCTTCTTAAAGGGGCAGAGCTGGTTGATGTAGACACTCCCAGCTGCCTGATGTCAAAGCCGAACTCCTGCCTAAACTTTGTATTTGGTTTTGTGTAGAGTGGGAAAGGGGCAGAACCTTTGCTGGGAGTGTATTGCCATCTGCGACCCTGTAAGGGAAATATTACTATTAAAGCGTGGTCACGGGGAAGGAACCCAGATAGCAAGAAATTGAGCTGCAAGTTTCTTAAATGTCGCTCTCTTGTCCTTGACGTGTTGTTTTACAGTTTTATTAAACCATATTGGTTTAGTCTTTGATCTTTTATTTTTGCTCCCTAAAGGTATGTGCAGCAAGTTAACAAAATTACAATTTAACCCCGACACAAGTTTGTAGCAAGTTATCCTTGCTATCTGGGAAGCAGCCCTTGCATATGTAATGAAGCAATAAGGCCATATAGGTACATACAGAATTGTTCCTCTTTGACGCAGGTTGCTGCCGAATCTCTGGAGGGTGTTGCTGGGAAAATCTGACATAAAGAAGAACGAGAGCTCGGAGCAAGCCCTGGAGGTGGAGAAGATCATCGCACATAAAGACTTTGTGGAGGGGACGTACAGCCTGCACAATGATATCGGTGGGTGACCCGTCCGCACCAGAGATGTGATGGGACTCTCCTGGGCTCACTTCGGGTTCTGTAACAATCCACACCGATTCCCTAATCCCGTGTTGCTTCTTCCTGGTTGCAGCTCTCATGAAACTGAAGAAAGTGAAAGGCAAATGTGCCAGGGAGACGCGCTTTGTGAGGACGGCGTGTTTACCAGACTGGGAATTTCCACCAGGAAAGATGTGCGATATCGCCGGGTGGGGGAGGTCGGAAAAAGGTGAGTGACGCCGGAAAGAGAATCACAACAGAAATAAAACTGATCTTCCATTAGTTGCTTTGTTACCTGTAAATGTGTGTAAATGTAATGTTGGCTCCAGCCAGAGACTTTGCCTGGCTGAGATGATGTCATCAATCTGCTGCAGGCAGGAGGAGGTTTCTCCTACCCCAGTGATCAGCCTGCTGCAGGTAGGAGGAAGTTTCTCCTACCCCAGTGATCAGCCTGCTGCAGGTAGGAGGAAACATTTCCTCAGTCTCCCCTCCCCCAGTGATCAGCCTGCTGCAGGTAGGAGGAAGTTTCTCCTACCCCAGTGATCAGCCTGCTGCAGGTAGGAGGAAGTTTCCCCTACCCCAGTGATCAGCCTGCTGCAGGTAGGAGGAAACATTTCCTCAGTCTCCCCTCCCCCAGTGATCAGTCTGCTGCAGGTAGGAGGAATCATTTCCTCAGATTGGCCTCCTCCAGTGATCAGACTGCAACATTGTAACTTTGTATCCAGTCACAAGGTGAGATGCTGCAGCAGGGGTTGACCTGTGTCAGATATTTGTGAACACAGCCAAGAACTGCACAAGCATCAGCATTTACATGACTGTGCCATCTCCAAGCCGGCACCTCTGTCCAGGAAGTAGATGGTGACCCTGGATGATGGCTGCTGAACCAAGAATGTGCCATCCAAACATATAACCATACAGGAGCAGGTATCTCCCAAAGAGTCATGGGTGAGGATATCTGCTTCTCCTTGAACTCAATGGTATCTTCCCATGAGTGCAAAAAGATTGGGCTGTGTATAAACCCAACCTGGAAGACCCCAAGCCTAATATCACTCTGTTCTGCTGCAGGTTACTCTGCCAACTTGCTCGAAGCCTCCGTCCAGGTCATCCCTGAAGCCAACTGCTCCGACCCCACATTTTATGGAAAATTCATTGACAAGAGTATGCTGTGTGCCGGAGTTCCTGAAGGGGGCGTTGACGCTTGTCAGGTAGGTTCCATCATTCTGTCTGAGGTTCCATTACAGCGTGGAGCATCTGCTGGTGCGACTTAGTGGTTAGCACCCCTCCATGGCAGCTCTGTGGTCCTTGGTTTTAATCCTGGACAGGACTCTGCCTGGAGTGGAGGTACTCTGGTTTCTTCCTGCACTCCAATGACCTGCTGGTAGGTGATTGACTCCTGCCTGAATTGCCCCTGTATGTATATGATCTAGGGACCTTAGGTTGTAAGCTCCTTGAGGGTGGGGACTGATGTCAATGTGCATTGTGATAGAAATGTCTGTAATAAATTATATATATCTATATATATATATATCTATAGATATAGATATAGATATAGATATAGATCAGGGTAGACACTGACATTGCCTCTGCTATTTATCTGTCTCTGAAGACTCACTTGTAGGCTAAGCATCAGAAGATATCTCATCATTTGGTCTGCTGACCACCTGCAAACTGCCCACTTCTGCAGGTTTAGGGGACGGGGTTAAAGCTGAGGGACTGAGCACTGACATCAACCACAAGGTGGACTATCTTCTACATTTTCCTCGCACTCCCTTTCCTGCCTTTCAGGTTTGAGGACACGTACCTACATCTGCCCATGCCAGTGATTCCTGCACTTCGCTGTGAGTCCATCTTGTAGCCCTGCCATGTAGCTTATATTCTACACCTCGGGTGTTCACCAAAGTGCTGGCCCCAGTACCAGCTTTACCCATTCTTATTGAGTCCCATTGTGGGATATCTAGATGACCTACTGCTGAGGGACCAGTCTGTGTAGGTTCTAGCACACAACATAGACAACAACAGGATCCATTAGAACCTTGCCGAGGTTCTGACGGATCCTGAACCTTCAAAAATCAGCACTGGAACCAACCCATCGCTTGGAATATCCGGGACTGGTCCTAGACACGGCTCAAGTTACAGTTTTTCTTCCCCAGGAGAGATTCCTGATTTCAGATTCATACTCTTCGTGGTCCAGGAGTTGCCTGACTGTGCATGAGAGTCCTGGGGCTCATTGTAGCCTCCTCCAAGGCAATTCCATTTGCCCAATTTCATTTCAAGCAACATTCTGTCTCATGGGACAAGTTAGTCCAGTCCTTGGACAGTCTAGCAGTAAAGACCAGGTTGTCCCTGGCTTGGTGGCTCAGAAATCTGACTCTAGAGACAGTGAGGTTGTTTCTTCCTGTCTTCTGGAAGCTCCTCATGATGGATGCCACTCTTTTGTGCTGTGGAGGAGTCCTGGGCAACCTATTGGTGCAGAGGACGTCGGAGGAATCTCATCCCTCAATCAATGTATGTATGCATGCTGCTGGTCTAGGGTTGCCACCTGTCCAGGATTCACCCGGACAGTCCAGGTTTTGAATGCTGTGTCCGGGTTTCATGGCAGCAGAAACCCGGACACAAATGTCAGGCAGACGGGCAACCTTGGGGCTCTGGTGTTCCTGGTTCTAAACAGCCTTACTCTTACACAGGACAGGTCTGCTGCCCAGCTACAGAAGGTCTCCTCATCACTTAGTATGCCTGTGGATTGCGCTCTCTTGTTCTCATGGATGAGATTGCGCAAGACAGTTTATACTTTGGCCCATTTACCAAGTTCTTCAGTGGTTGTCGCTCCTCACTCCCTCCTGGCTGTCTCTCCTCACTTTCTTGGCTGTCTCCTCTCTCTCCCCTGGATGTCTCAGCTCACTATCTCCCCTGGCTGTCTCTCCTGGCTCTCTCCTCTCTCTCTCTCTCCCTCTCTCTCCTGGCTGTCTCCTCTCTCTCCCCTGGCTGTCTCTCCCTCTCTCTCCCCTGGCTATTTTCCCAGGCTATCTCCCCTGGCTCTCTCTCCTGGCTGTCTCTCTCCTCTGGCTGTCTCTCCTCGCTCTCCTCTCTCTCTCCCCTGGCTGTCTCTCCTCTCTCTCTCCATCTCTCCCCTGGCTGTCTCTCCTCTCTCTCTCCATCTCTCCCCTGGCTGTCTCTCCTCTATCTCCTGGCTGTCTCTCCTTGTTTTCTCCGGTATACTCTCAAAAAGAAAACTGCACTATAGTGTTCGGGTTTCGCTTGAAGAAAGGGCGGCAACCCTATGCTGGTCCTGCTTTGTTTCAAAATGGAGGCATGCTGGTAGCAGGATGCCCAATCCTCCTGTAGGCAGCAGTATAACCTGATAGTACATGACTTCCAGTGTCCCTCAGTAGACTTCAATAGACTAACAGTGAGTACAAAAATCCTATTATTCTCTTAATTGTCTACTAAAGTCTATTGTAAGATATTATACTGTTGATACAAAGGAAATACATTACATTGTTTTCTATTGACAAATTACACCTTTCTAGTGATGGGTACCACAAACAGCCGTGTAGAGGCGCGCACATCACAATAATAAATGACAGTAGGAGAGACTTGTATCCATACCCCAACTACAATTCAGGAAATGTTAGAGGAGACCAACATGATCTTAAGCGGAACTTTGAAGGCAGATGCTATAAATCCTATTAGTTTGCCGTAGATGACAATTCTTCTTTCTGAGAACTCCCCAATCCTCTGACTACCTCTTGTGTCTCCTCCAGGGTGATTCTGGCGGTCCCCTAGCCTGTGACCGGGACGGTGTGGCCCAAGTCGTCGGCGTGGTTAGCTGGGGAGAAAAGTGCGGCCTTAGAACCAAGCCGGGGGTCTACTCCCACGTCTACAGATTCCTCCCTTGGATCCAGGAGAACATCAAGGCAAACCCATAGGGCTGCCATTGTGAGGATGACACAACTTATACCATAGCCCCTTCCTGACGGGCACTCGGGCACCTTACTTCTTGGCAGATTACCAGCCATGAGTGGGCACAGGGAATACTGCAATAGCTGGACAATGTCAGTTTTGGGGCCCTGAAGGGCCACATGTGTTATGTCATTGTGTGTATATTGACCAATACTGGCCGTGCTATACTTGGGGAGTCATGCTTGTCATTGTAATTGAATAAACGCAATTAAAAAACAGAAAAGACGATAATATCCTACAATCAGCATGCAATGAGCAAACCTAAAATATATAAACACGTCATCATCCGTTCCATGCAACAGAAACATTTTTTAAGGACATAAAATAGCTAAAACTACTTAAAGGAGAACTATGAGGTCAGGGCTTTTCCCCATAGTTCTCCTTAGGGTAACAGGAGGACACAAACTAGCGTCCTCCCGTCACCCTAAGCTCAGTATATAGGGAGCTACAGCTCGCGGTATACTGAGACGCCGCAGCTAAAGCGGATCCCGACAATTGTGCCAGGATCCGCCCAGCTGCGTGACTGACAGCTGGCTCTGCCTATCTAGAGGCAGAGCCAGCTGTACCCGCGCCCCCTCCTCCGTCCATTCCGCCAGTCAGCGCTGGCAGATCGGAGCGGGGAGGGGGGAATCCAGCCCCTCCCCTGTCACAGCAGAGAGCCGTGACAGGATCGAGAGGTGAGCGAACGCCGGTATGTGTTTGCTCACCTCCCGATCTACTGAGCCGACCTGTGACAGTCTCAATGTCACAGGTCGGCTATAACTATGAGGTGAGTGAAAAGCACCCCCCCCCCCCCCCCTCCGCATTCTCTTTTTAAAGGAACAT